GCCTGGTCCCATGGCTGTGCTATCAGTGTATCCTTGTGTTATTCACTGTGGGCTAACATTTGCACCATCAGTGCTGTTTTCACAATTTTCATTTGAACTGAGGAGAATAATACAGAGCTAAAATGGTACCTTAATCATTCAGTGAAGAAATAAAGACAACAGTATCACTGGAGAAACAAGTCACAAGGTTTGCCTAATCAAATACTTAAAATGAAGACTTCAAAATTAATCTAAACCTTAAATATCTTTATAAAACGAGTTGTCAAGCATTGCCGTATTCTAAATAAACTGGTAAGAATCAAGGTGAATTCACAGACTATTATGGAGCTTGAAAGATAGGGTTAAATTTATCAGATGTGGTGCTCATAGTGCACAGATTGATAGCTGTGTTCAGAATTATATTGGCTTTAAGCAGTCATTGACAAATATACATTGGCTTAGCTGCTATGACATATCTTTAGTCCTAAGGAAATGATGAATTAGCTAAGTTGTCTTTAAGATAAGTGTCATATAAGGACTAACCAAGATCCCTCCTCTCAGTCTTAAACACACCTTACTGACAACATGTGTGTGTACATATTTTAAAGAAATGCCTAGTGATATTTCAGGTGAGAGCTTAAGACAGCATCCACCTACATTCCTCCCTGAGCTATGCAGACTTTGATGATCTCATATTGCTACAATTATAAACTCCAGCCTAACCTTCTCAGAAGTAAGTAGTGCTATTGAGGACCAGATGCCATCCCAGGCAACCACGCATAGTTGTGACCATGTCAGGAGAGGGTGTCGGATTGGTCCATGCTCATGGGAAGTCTGTGTTGCCCTTTTCTCTCCTCCCCTTCCTGCCCATTCATGGTCTGCTGGTTTTGCCATCAGCAAAATCTTCTGAGAGTCCTAGTTACCTGTGTGTCATGAGTATGGCACAGCAATCACACCAACGCCGTGAAAATATGCCAGGCAGAAAATGGGATAAAAAAGTTTCCTAAGGTAGGTGTACCATCTTACAGGCTCCAGGGAGGATGGTGAAATGAATGTGGTGATGTACCACCCAGCACCATACACGCAGCCCCAGACCACATCTCGGGCTGCCTGGGATGAGTTAGCAGTGTACATGGAGCGCAGTGGCAGTCTGATTACAGGGGTGTCTGGTTAAAGAGCAGGGATCACCTCAGTGTCATCCCTCACCTCTGTACCTGGTGCTGGGGCACTTCTGCCCTCTCTTTGCTGCTGCAGTTGGGAGTCTGAAGCACAGCCACAAGGCAGAGACCAGCATGTGAGAACGGGGCTGCTACAGGGCTGTTACACGTGAACGATACAGGTGGGCTGTGGGAAGAGACTTGTCCCGTCCTTTCCCTGTGGATCCTCTCTGCAGCCATGGTCTCCCACGCCTCAGCTACTCTGTGGCTCTCTGAGGAAGAACCAGGAGGCTGTGCTGGTCTGTAGTCAGTGTGGCAAAGTTCCCTGCCTGGTCATCTCTGGAAAATGAACTCTGTGTGCCTTTGTGTGTGTGTGTATTGGGGAGAGTTATGTTCAGACCACTCAGAAGAAACGTATAAGAGCCCTCCAGAGTTTATGGGAGGTGCCTTTGGCCTCAGTGAAAGAAGGAACTGGTAGCATTACGAGAGGGAAAGTACTCTGTTGTTAAGGAGTGGTGGTGGGATTGTTTATTTTTCCTCCCATAAACGTTTTTTTTAAGGTCCTAATGGAAACAAAGCAAAGTATTATTCCTCTAAAAGCACTATTCTTTAAGTAAACCAGACTCACTACTTGAAACATTCCAATGACATATGGTGGCAGCAGGGGGATGGCTGAGATGAGGGCAGGAGAGGTATCACCAAGATAAAGATATAAGCTTGTAGGCAAAGGCACAAGGTGCAAGGAGAGGGACATGTACCCTGCAAAGAGAAAGGACTGAAGAGAAAACAGCAAACACTTCTGGGGGCATAAATTTATCTCTCTGATAATTACCTTCAACAGCCTTTGCTATCGCAGAGATAAAATTTAAAAATGTCAGAAGCACCCTTTCATGGTCTCTGTTACTACAGAAAGGCAGCTTTCTCATGTCCTGTTGGTTGAGGGGGAGTCACGTCCTCCTTGAACACCTCCATCTGTGTCAGCACCTGCCCCATCAGCTCACCAAGCTCAGTGTGCCAGACCCCTGCGCTTGGGCACACGCAGCTGCCTGTGGCACCAGCCTCCCAGAGCAGTAAAATAATCATCACTGTGGGGCACGAAAACGCAGCCTTCTTGGTCTTGTGAGAGGGAGGTTTTTGACCACCTTCCACCCGGCTGAGCTCATGGCAGTTGAGCCCCACGCTCCAATAGACATGGCACACAGTTGGCAGCCTGGTTCAACAGCCTGGAGTTCTTATTTGTGTATAGCATTTTCTTACGTATTTATTTTCCTCCACGACCCAGCTCACACACATGTTGTTCCTGGGCTGTGGTTTCTGCAGTGGCAGCAAGGTTTAGTGGACTTCAGTAGGAGAGAATAAAAAGAACCCACCTGTGTTTCGCACATTAAAAATGTGAAATGAGTCCAGAGCTGTCTTTTTCCAGCAGATAATACAGTTAAATGCTGATTGTTTTGAGGGGGCTATTTGTTATGCATTTCATAACTGGTATAGTTATCATCAATTCAAATACAAAATGGTATATTTTTTTCTACAGACTTTTCAGGTTTGTAGATTGGTGTATTTCCCAGCACCTGTGACATTCATTACCCTGTAAACTTTCTTGTTGCTGGCTTTCTCTTATTTGCATCTCACTGCATCTAAAATATGTCTTCACCGGGTAAAGATGGATGCTAATCTAGACTATATTTCTTCCTCTCTAGTATTTATTGCTGCCCCCAAGTATCCTGGCTTCTTTCAGCATCAGGAATTTGGGATCTGATTGAGGGGAAGGGGACAGGGTGGAGGGACATGACAGACATCCATACTCTTCTCTTTGTCTTCTAGTCTCTTGTCAAAGTTTCTTCAGCAGTTAGGCAAGTTATAAATATAAAATGATTATTTAAAAAGAGGGTTTCCCATGCTATTTCTTGTCTCTAGTGGCTAAGGATATAGGAAAATAACAATTGCAAGATTTGGCATAAAATCATCATCTTTGGCATTTCTTTTGTAGTTTAGCCATCTTTTGGATGACAGTGTGGTCTGTAGAAGAAAGCAACAGCAAGTTTTAGGAAAGAAAACAGCCTTAGGAAAATGCATATATGATTTCAAGGCAGTTACGTCTAAGTTCCTCAGAGCTTAAAACAAAAAGTCATGCCTGGTGTAGATGCGCTGGTGGGCAGAGTGCAGGCTACGTGTTCAAAGGAACATATTTGCTCTGTCAAATGGTCATTATAGTACTATGCATGGCCCTCACCTAAAAAAAAAACCAAACAAACATACATGCAGATACACTGTTCACAGTAATACCAAAACAGCCGCAGATGGGCGATGCCTTCACAGAGGTTCAGTGCAATATGTGTAATAATTCCTGTATTCTGTATTCAAATGCCATGATGAACTAAAAAGATACCTCGGAAAATACCTTCTTCCCTTGAAAGTTCTGCTTTCCAAATGGGTTCTTCATGATGGAGAACCCTGCCTATCAGCTTCTGACTGCGTATTTGCCATTGGCTGAGGTGTAAAGATATAAATCACACAGCACTACACGTTAAGATGAACCATGCGTGCAATATTTCGATGTGACCACTCCTTTGTTAAAATGCATTACTCTGTAGAAAAATGGCAGAAACACATCTGAAAGACCAAAAATAACCTATTTCTGTCTTACAGAGAATCACAGGGCTATGGCAGACCTTAATCTCTAAAATCCTGCAGTGTTGCTGTTTGGGGTTCTGCTCTTTGGACATTCAACAATATCTTTGCACTTCTTATTACATTACTCTGAGCATTTTTTTTTTCCTCCAGAAAACACTTCGACGTTGGCAGGAAAGCACACCTGATCAAATGTCTGGTTAACTTAAGAGCTCCATCACCAGCAAACCTGGAAAACAAAAGCTTGGGCAGCACAAATGCCTGTAACATTGTCTATACTTCTCCCTCCTGCCCCCTCTAGCTTCACCCAGCTGTTTTAAATAGCGAGGAGAAATTAAAATTCTTAAAGCCTTGCAGGATGTTTGGAGTTCTGCCCTTTATTTCCACTTATATGCGCCATAGCTTGAAAATTTGCCCATGATTTATAAATTCCCTGTTCAGTTTTCTTTTAAAAAGCAACGACTAGGAATACCGGCAACGAAAATGATCTGGTGTTGGCTTCCCCAGTTGCCAAACGGCTGCTGACAAACAGCCCTGCTTGCCTGCCTGTATTGATCGTCCCGGGCTAGGCGTTTTCCTGTGCCCGATGACATTATGCAATTACATGATGATAAACATCATTCGGGAATACAAATGCGAGAGGTAAACAGCTCGGGGCTCTTTATTAGTTTATTTCAGGCGATCTTTCTTGTTTTACTGCGCGGCTCCTCCCCTTTTTACAGTTTTCTGCTATTCTTTACTAATTCTAGTGATTTGAGAAATGACCTTTAACCCACGCAGTTTGCAGACTCCTAAAGGGGATAATTGAAATGCCACAGTAAACCAAAGGCAATAAAATATTATTTACTAGGCATAAAACTAAGGTTGGTCTTCCTAAAAGGAACGAACAGCCCCTTTATTCCTCCCCGGACCTGGTGCTACACCTAATTTATAAATTCCTCACCAGCCGTCCCGAGGAATGAACCGCAGCCCGGGCTCTGAGGGTGCCAAAAGGCTCCTCGGGTGTCGGGGAGCAGATAAACCCGCCGGGCGCGATGCTGCAGGCTCGGGCCCCGCCCGGGTGGGCAGGTGCCGGCGGGGGCAGCAAGGGCCCGGGGGGCTCCGCGCTGCCTTTGAGCCCCCGCCGGAGGCAGCGCGCCCCTCTGCGC